TTCCTGCTTCCTTCCTAAAAAATAGGAAAAAAGCCACTCAAAAGATTCTTCTCAATATAACCATTATCTTAATCTTAATGAAACATCACTTATGTACTTAAAATCTTACTGTCTTGAAACTTTCTCTTTTAATCCAGTGCACAAAATGCATTATATAAAATAAAAGCAATATAGTTACTGTCATTGAGGTACAATGTGGCATGAATTCCTTCACAGTTCCCTTCCCAGTATTTTTGAGGATAATATTTGGATATTGGGGCTCAGCACAATATGGCCTGTGTGTGCCATGTGACTCCTTCATGGTTCCCTAACAGCCATACTCCAAATGCATGTCAGTTAACACAAGAGGACTAGCTTAGAAGCACTATAGTCGGCTGCTTGTGTGGCTCAATAGGAGGTTATTGTCCATAATTCCCAAGATGAGAGAAATCATGTAGTCAGGCCGTGCTGAAACGTACAGCGTTCAAAGTAAATTAGCCAAGAGCCTCTCCTGAAGGCAAATCCTGTAGCAGAAAATTGATTTCTTATTAGTTTTACATGAGTGTGCTTTCACTACTGAAGGATACACCAGAGCTAACATTTTCAATTATATAGAGAGTGATAACCACTCTCTATATAAACACAGATATCTTTAGAGTTATTACTTTCTGTAGAGATATGTCATTCGATTGTACAATTTAGTCTCATGTACTGGGGATAAGTAACACACAGCTGGCGAGTGAACGCCCCAGAAGGCATCAGGAAGAACACTGCAAGGAACCCCCTTTCTTCCAAAAAAATGCAGCCAGGTGGCTGGCATTAACCCAGTAGTTCACATTGGGAGTGTGCTCTCCTAACGGTTTGCAGAGTAGTGCGGTCTGCCCAGACAAAACACTCCCAAAATACATTCCATAGGAGCACAGGATCCCCTGCATCTGTTTTTTCCTCTACAGAGCCATTTCTACTAGACCACATCGCATGCTAATGCAGACATGAACTTTGTTAATGCATTCAAAATTTAAGGAAAGAAAGAGTCCAGTGTTATACAAATAATTAAAAAAAGAATTCAAGATTAGAAGAACATTGGAAAAGAAAGGAACATTACTCTTTTAAAAAAAAAAATCTTATTTATAGCAGTTAAATGATAACTTCTAGATCACAATCAGAGATATTTCAAGGACAATATTACCACCTTCAAAATTATTGCACAGTTAAGTTCACCCTCTCCAATATTTTTAGGCTCTGCAAACTCCTAGTGAACCAGCTGAGCTGTGTATGCGGATACATATTTAAATGTGTAGTTAGGAATGTTTAATCTTACAAAAATTAATCAAAGGATTAGTTCCTGTACTAGGTACACAGAAAAAAATTTTTTTAATAAAGCTGTAAACTGGATGTCAGTGATTAAGTACACCTTTAAACTTATAAGACTCTTAGCTCATTGCTCATCATAGGAATTTATTTTAAACTTACTGGGCTATATTTTTGTGCAAAACTAATTTGGGAATTATTTTTTTTTAATCAGTGGGTACTTTGAATCCTTCATGTAAAATTTGAATTTTCAATTAACTTATGAAGATCCACCATCTAAACAAGTACTGTACAACCCAGCTTTTGTTGTCTCTGTCTTTAGTAGTAAATAAATGCACTAAAGACTGTTCTTTGGATCTATCATTCCACCCTGCAGAAAACAATTGCTACTCCAAACTATTTACTGGGAACATACCCCTGACCCATGCTAACTGTCGAAGTTCTGAGGGAAATAGTTTGGAAGAATGGTAGTTAATAGAGGCAAATACAATGGCCAGGACTGTTCTCACAGTTTTACAGTATAGCTGATCAGATTTGCATTATCTGGGGGTGTTTGTTAAACTTGCTGGTATAAGGGTAGCCACTGAATAATCATTATACTGGTCGGTAGGTCCCAGAATAGAAGTGCTCCAGACACCTTCCAATAACAAAACAATAACTCTGAGATGTCGCCACAAATGGCAATTTCTTTAGAATACTTTTTTCTTACTGTAAATTTATTTGCAGAAATTCAAATTAGTAAAGGCTTTGATCTTCAATGGAAAGTTATTGGCCCTGAAAAATGATTGGAATTACAACCCTGAGCAGTGAGTTCCCAAGTTTACATTCTGCAATATCCCCCTCCCCCAAAATGTCAGACTATGTACATAAAGTTGAATTGTCTCAATTATACAACACAATTCCCACGTCTTTGAGCAAACACTAACCTTCTGTTCCATAAGTAATGTGTTTGTAGGAACTGCTGCAAATGCCTTGTAGCTTGTCTTGATCTTGTACTGCTAAAAGGGTAAACCAGAAAGCAGGAAAAGAAGTAAAACAGGGTAGAAGAGAGAGAAGGAGAGAAAGGGAAGAGAGGGGAAAGGTATGACAGAATGAAAGGTGATTCCAATTGTCTTGCAGAGGCATTGCAACAATACAATGTTTATGTATTACCTAGGAAAGAAAATCTAGTGTTTCTGTTAAGATTTTTTAAGATGTAGTATACATCTTTTGCTTTTAAGAATGAAGTAGGAGGAAATGAATCCCCTATACCAGCTTATATCTTCTGAAGTGATTTTTACCACTTTCTGCTGGCTGCTATCCTTAAATGAATATCAGGAGAAGCTGTGATTTTTTTTTTCCAAGTTTGCTTGTGATTTGATATAATGCACAACTACTGCCAGTTTGACAGTACATGCACCTCAACAACTGCTGCTGTGTGGTGTGATCCTGGACCACAAAATCAGAGGGATTTCTGTGATTGGCTCTAATGAGACTGATTAGGATGGTTAAATGCTGAATTACCTATGTGAGTGGATAGATCATTTAAGTTATGTCACAGCTTTTCATCTCCTGACTAAGTAACTCTACCACCCAAAAAAATATTTCAAAATAAGTATAGGAACTTTCACATTCTAACCAAGCACAAAGAACTGGCAATCCAAAATGCATGCATTTAGGTACAAAAATTCTAAGATTTACCTTAAAAAATATTTTTTATATACAATTTCTTTTATAGACTATATTAGCTTGAACAGTTATTTTTAATTCTTTAGAAATCATACATTCTACGGTTTTTTTGCAGTTATGGAGGCTGAATTCAGAAATTTTTTAATTATAGATGAGACTCTTCTATACGTACAGGAGTTAAAGAGATAGGATTCTTAATCACATGATTTTTTTTTTTTTTTTTAACAGTTAAATAGGGATTCACTACGTTGTTCACTTTTCAGCAACGTTCTAATAAAAGATAATAATTTCACACAATAATAGAGTTTCAAATTATTGATTATTTCTGTGATAGTCATCCAAAAATAAAGTTACTTGTTAATGAGTCTGGGTTTTTTTAATGTACTGTTATCTGCAACAGTGAATACTGGTTGTTATGAGATAACAAGATGAGCAGCTTGCTGTAGTTTAGTTTATTCTTTTTCACTTTTTTCTTTTCTCTATTATTTAACGAAAGTCTAGATGACACCAGAGGGGCCAAAATTTTGATTTGGCTTAGATAAACTTATATTATCTTCATATATTTCTTGAAATATTGTAGGACACCAGCTTTCAATTCTTTCTATACAGAGTATTATGTTTGCTTTTGTCTTTATTCATATTTCTTAGCCAGAAGCTGGAGACTGACAGACATTCAAGAAGTCAATAATCACAATAACCATATTGAATGAACAGCCTGACAAAGCAGATGAATGCAAATGCTGGAACTGCATTTGGGGGCAGTAGTAATTCATATGAGATTTAGTGATTCTAACTTAGATGTCTAACATTTAGGTGCTTTGGTCTAAACCAGTGTCTTTTATAGTCATAGGCATTTCTGCAGGATAATTCATCTCATCCCAGAATAGACACCTAGAAAGGTAATATTGTCTCCATTAGCTATAATAGAATTGTCCAAGTTTTGCTTGGATATCTAACTTGCAAATGTCAAAAGCCACATGAGTTAAATTGTGCCCTTTGAACATTTAAATAACACACTGCTATAAATGTGTGTATGTTTGTGTATATATATATATATATATTCATGTATATAAAAAAACCCATATGCAGATAAGACATAAAATACTACTCACTGAAGTAAGCTGGAAGATGAAGATGCCCCCAAATACTAAAATTGTCATATCCACAAAGTGTATCCTTGTCTGCTTGTAATTTATATTCAGTAAAGAAAATTATATAATTGAACATATAAATGAAATTCAGTGTCTTCACTAGGCTATAAGCCTTAGATAAGATGAGATGGGCATCATGTATGAGGAGGATATTGTCACCACTTTGAAGTTATTTGTACTGTTTATGAACTAAACAAAGACATATCAGATTGTGAAAATGTAAAATCTTCTCTACTGCTTTAATGTGCTTTAACACTTCCAGATACTTTAGAACCTGTGAGCAGTGTGTTATTGTCACAGTGTTTGAGACTGGAAAGACTTTAATTCAGTTTCTCACCTATTGACACATTAGTTCACATTAAATTATTATTCAATGCTAAATATATTAAGCAATCTGGTTCATAGGAAAGTAGCAGTATTTTGAAACAACCATGGACAATTAGGTCTGCTGGCCTGCACCAGTCAGATGCAAGACACCTCCAATATCAAAGCTCAGGCAAATATCAGCCTGGAGAGTTTTAAGGAAAATGTCCTACTATTCTTCCTCAAATTATAACCTAGGGCACCTACAGGACATTGCAAAGTGTGCTCAACACATATGTATAGAGGCTTAAAATCAGTGATTAACCATGGTAGCACAGAGGTCCTCATGGGTAATGTTTCCTGGTATGAGGTAGGTTTTGCAGCTGTGCTCAGCTCCATGTTGCTACAGTTAATTTGTTCCCCAGCTGTTTTGGGTAGCTCTGCATGCAGTCCTGTGCTACATTCAAATAGGAAAAATCAAAGAATATGTAGGAGTGATATCCCATGAAACCACTGCAATGAGTTTTCAAACAACAGCCAGAGGGTTTTTTTCTAAGCTGTTCCTGTAGAATCAACAATTCTATCTGTCTCCACTCCATCCTACTGCTCATTTTGCTGTATTAGGTCCATTAGTGTTTGCAAAGTCCAGGGAGCAGGGGGCGGAGGGTGGGGGGGTATTTCCTGTGGTCACCCACAGTCCACACTTCACACCGACCTGTGGATTTATGTTTATATTCATTTTGCAAACCTGACGTATTTTTAAATCGTTACCAAACATAAATACCAAAAGCATGGGAAAGCACATCTGTTTATATATACAAGTTCAAACAGTTAAATAATTTAATAGGTTATTCTTTAATTTGTATGAACTGGTGCATGCACAAGCATAATTGTGCATTATCTCTCCATTAAAGAATCCGTTTTGCATAATTGCTTTGTTATCATGCTAATGAAATAGTTTGATAGGAATACTGTATCAAAACCAAAAAGTACACTTGATTTCAAAACTCTGGCTTAATAGGTGTTGCATTAATACGTCTTAATGTTAAGGTTGCAAAATCACACATGTCAAAGTCAAGCACTTCTAGATGTTGTGTTTTTCCCTTTATATTCACTTAGCACATTCATACATGCAAGTATTTTGTCATGCATCAATGATGGAGCAACCTGGCTTTTGCCTAGTTCTGAAGTTGAGCTGATTGACACTGAAGAGACCTAAATGTTGCTTAGGATGTTAATGTTGCCTCTCCTCAATCTTTTTGTTTTCTCCGGAAACATACTGCGATTTGAGGCTAATATTGTCAGAGAGCCTCCTAACACTGACACACCAGCAAAGTTCATTGAGCTATGCTGCAAACTAGATGTAGTAAACAAATGAGAGCAGGAGGAAAGGACATTGTTGAATTAATGCTATTGTTAACTGTAAATGAAGTCTCAGCCACATATTTCAAAGCCACAAGATACCTTTCCTGTACTGAACAACCAGCTGCATTTGGTTTAGAGATTTCAGATCTTCCACATCTGTGCTGGAGCCCACTTTGTCAGCGTGATTAAAGATTGCACCAGAGTAATGGTCCAGCTCTGTTAAACTGGTGGAGAGTCTCTGTGAGGTGGTGGGGCAGTTCCATAAGTGCCACCTTATCACGTGATAAAGCAGAATTAACAGGAAGAGAGACGGTAGTGAAGGCAGAAAGGATGTAGTAACCTCTGCAAATACAAACCCAGGCAATAGCTCTGTATCACAAGCAGATAATTTCCTTGCCACCAGAGACTCTCACAGTGATCATTGCACTGACTGGCAGAAACTGCAACTGCTCTGCAATCTGCAGGCTCTGTCATGCCTTTCAGTTTTCTCTCAGAGGCTTTTTTTTTTTTTGGAATTTCTACAATTTCATTTCTCTTTTTGTTTCATTAAGTAATACTGACAGGATGTAACAACACTGTACAGCTGTGCTTGGCACAATGGTATCTCTTGGGTTATTTGGTTTTTAGATGAACCGTTCATGACAATTGCTACTTTGTGCTGATTTAAACCTCTCATTTTCAATTAACATTTTCCAAACAGTTCAAGTCACCTCTGCCCTGGCCAAGCTGTTAGGAGCATATCTGACACAACTTGATCTGGCAGACCAGGCTGTAATTTTGTGTGGTGAACAAATAAATCAATAAACCCTGATAGCCTTCCAGTGATGGGCAGAGCTCGAATGTCAGCAAGAGGAGGCACAAAGGAAGCATAGAGTGCAGAGATAAAATAGAAGAGGCTGGAAAGCCTTCCGCTTTTGTTTTTTTTTTTTTTTTTTGGCCAGCTTTTCTTTCCTTTCCCTTACCATTTGTGAGATTTATCTTTAGGTTTAAAGTGTGACTGATTCCCAAGCCCTCCTCCAGCAACTGCCATCACTGCTTATTCTCACTCTGCTGGGCCTCCCTCACCTTTGGGTGGGTGACAAACAATGGGAGTGTGGCTGATCCGTTGAGTGTGAGACTTTCATATCTGCAGTAGGTCGTGTTGTAGGAAGCTTGCCTTTTTTCCCTCTCATCCTCTGTCTAGCACAACAAGATTAGAGAAGCAGCAAAGAAAGGGAAGAAGCAGAACACTGTCCTTGTCTTCCCTTTCTGGCTCTTGACCCCAGAGTCTCTGCACAGGCTGAGATCAGCCAAGCCTCTGGACTGGTTCTAGACCAGATGGGGAGCTGAGAGGATAAGTGGGACAAGGTGCTTGGAAATCAGTTGTCACTGGAACAGACAGTTCACATCAATTAGATAAAGCTGCTTCTAGCTCAGCCCTGCACCTAAGATCACCATACTTTTACTACTTTCAGTGGAGACATGTGGATTTACATTAGCATGCAGTGTGTAGAACATGTTTCATGGTTTAT